TGCAAATAATGACAATTTGACTTCTTCATTACCTATCTTTATTCCTTTTATTTCTTTCTCTTGTCTAACTGCCATGGCTAATGTTTCCAGAACTACATTGAACAAGAGTAATTGTGAGTCCATCTATATTTATTTCCTTGGTGATTTTATCCTGTCTCATAGTTTTAAATGGTTTCCATATTTACAGTTTTTAAATTTATTATCTTTTTGTTTGTGTATGTTGGTAGTATACAATGTTTAGATTCCTAGGTTCATTTGATATATGCAAACAACACAACTTAATCCCTTTTTCATCTTCTTTTTCACCCTTCTCCTCTCCTCCCTCCATCTCTTGATCTTCTCCCATTTGAAAAAGATCTCACTACTTCCTGTTACCTACCCTTTTATTTTGCTCTTTATTTATATTTTAGGGTTCTCATGTAAAAGAAACCATGCAATGTTTAAGTTTGTATGTTTTATTTATTTCTCTTAACATTATGGTCTCAAAATGCATCCATTTTCCTTCCAATGACTCAAACTTATCTTTCCTCATGGCAAAGTAGTGCTCCAATTGGGTAAATACCACATTTTCTTTATCCATTCATCTGTTGATGGACATATAGGCTGCTTCTAAGATTTAGCTCAATTGTACCACTATAAATATGGGTAAGTGTGCATCATTGAAACCTGATGATTTTAATACTTTTGAGAAGATAACTTAGAAGGGGAATTACTGGGTGAAATAGAATTTTTAATTTTACTTTGTTGACGGATCTTCAGCATCACCACCATTTGTTGCTTGATTTTATGATGATGGTCATTCTTTCAACGGTAGGATAAAACCTCATTGTTCTTTTAATTTGCATTTCTTTAGTGGTCAGTGATGTTGAATAGTTTTTCATATATTCATTTCTAGTTCTTCTTCTGTGAAGTGACTTCATTTCACCTGTCAATTTTTTATTGAGTTTTTTATTTTGGGTGAGTCTATTTTATTTTTAGTTCTTTATACATACTAGACATTAATCCTCTGAGTCACAGCTGGCAATATTTTTCCATTCTGTAAGTTGTCTTTTCACTTTGTTGTTTTTTTCTGTTGCTGTACAGAAGCTGTTTAACTCAGACATTTTCCACCACTTCCATACTTCTAGCATCTCACTTTCTACTTGACAGCTCCCATGTTTTCTAATAGGCTCTTCAACCTTTGCATAACACATGGCCAATTTCACTTTCTGACAAAAATTTCATTACTGAAAGCCTTCTTCATCTGAATTAACTCTTCTTTTAATTCCCAAGCAAAAATTGTCAGATCATCTTCATCATACTTCAACTTTTTTCTACATATACAATCTGTTAACAAATCCTACAATTCGCAAAACCCAGGATCTGGCCACTCTGATTACAGTTGTCTACCATTCCCTCATATCTGGCTTATTACCGTAGCCATGAATTAAACATTCTGTTTTATCCCTCTTACTTTAAAGTAACCATATGATTGAATAGCTAATCCACAATCTGATATAATTTCCTTATAATTGTTTTTCCAATTTCAGTCATAATGGTGATCATATTCCTTTTTTTTTTATGAATTATCAATTTACTTGTTAGAAATATAATTTCTTTTTAAATGTTTAAATTTGTTCTCATATTATATAATGTAATATTCTTCAGGAATATTTTAAGCTATTATTTTTGTCTTAATTCTTACATTGTTGATTATTTGAAAATCTTTCCTAAGCACAACATAATGCATATATGTGATTAGTCAATAAACACTTCATTGTTGGTTGGGGTTAGAAGTGAAGCAGTATATCATGCAGCAAACAAATAAAATGGATTTTTTTCTTTTTTACTAGCAAAATTTAAGCAATTAATTTGTAAATACATGAAACTGTCTTATTAAAATGCACATTGTGTATATAAATCAATACAATAATACACTCACTTCAAATCACACCATGTTTAACAACTTACAATTTCTCAAAGCCATATAAACCTAGAAACCATGCAAGAGCAAGGATTTTGAGGAATTTTATGGCCATGAAATTAACCTAAGTGTTGCAACAATGCATTAGTATTTTTAATACTATACCGCTCTCATGAAATTGTCATTATTCCTGAGCTCTATGTGGAATTTCAATGTCTAGAATAGTATGGAGAAATCAGAAGGAGATAAAGACATGGAGGGAAGGCAAAGGGAGGGAAGAAGAGGACCTAAAAAGAATTAAGATATGTTATCTATATGTACCAACATCCCAGGGTGAATGTGACCGTTACGTACTACAAACAAAAATTAAGATAAAAAATATAGTAATTAAAAAAAAGAAATCACACGTGTCATTTAAATTATTTGTTCTGAATCAAAGGAGACCAGAAGGCACTGAGTCGAGTTAAAACACATACCCTGTGCGTGCTGTTGACCCTGCTCCCTGGCAAGTTGTAGAGAATCATTTCCCAGAATCCCAGCCTCATCGGGGTTGCCAGAATGACTTCAGCTAGTGATGACACAGCAGGATTATCTGAATTTACGCTGACCTTGCTGACATTGTGTAAGTGCTGTAACCTTAATGGTATTAGCCACATTTTTTTTCAAACTAAGACAGATGATCGGTCAAAATTAAATTGGATCCAGACCATAACAAGGTTTTGCTTTCCATCACTTTCCATAAATTAAGTCTTGCATGAAGGTTCCAAAACTTTATATTATCCTCAAAATTGTGCAACAGGAATATGCAATTTACTATTATGCCTTTCTGGTCTCTTCCCTCATCATTTCCTGCTGTCCTTCATGCATCAGGAAGCAAAGACAACTAAAGACTTCTTTGGAGCAGATTGGCTGTGTTCCCTCCTGGTAAGCATCAATTTCCATAAAAACTTCACAGTGCTAATACAGAAGAGAAGGGTTATCTCTCATTTATTATCTCATTCAGCCATGGTCCGGGGTGATTTAAAATACGTTAACTATTTCTGGGTCTCTCTAGCTTATCTCCATAAAAAGTCTGAAGATTTCCTAAACCTGCCATTCATTTTCTCTTTGTGTTCTCTATAAGTGACATTAATAATAATATTTTACATTTGTCTACTATTTTATGCTAAAGTTTGTATCTTAGTTGGCCTTTTTAGTGTTTCTCAATATTAAACCACCCATTTGCTAAGAATTTCTTGGGGTAAATTTACTTCTATAACTATCTGTTATTATGTAAGAGTTTTCAAAGTTGCATTTTAGATAATATAAGATAATATATTGCGTGGCTTTACATTACAACAACAAAATACCTTAGATCATTAACTTATAAAGAGAAAAGGTTTGTTTTGGTTCGTGGTTGTAGAAGTTCCAGTCTGGGATAGCAGACCTGCTGCTTTTGGGCCTGTGGTTAGGTTGCCGGATGTTAATAGGAGGCAGCCATGTTAGAGCAAGCTGCTCCTCTCATGGCCGTGAAGGAAAGAGGAGGAAGGGGCTGGGTCCTACCATTCCTCTCAAGGGCACACCCCAGTCTCCAAAGGGTCCCACCCTGCCCTGCTCCTAGAGGCTCCGCTGCCTCCCCGAGAAGCACGTGGGGGCCAAGCACATGGATATGGGAGACACCCCATATCCAAGCAATAATCACAGGTCATAACTAACTCTGTGTTTAAAGGGGACTTTGTACCTCCCCCAGAGACCAACCACAGCCTTAGAAATAAAAGCTGTAATTGGAGCAGAGAGGTTAAACATTATGAAAATCACTGCCCTGCACCATGAGCTGGGGCACCAGAGCCAGTGGATGGGTCGGTGTAGCTGCTCGGCACAAGAAATACCTCTGCCCAGGCCATGTGGAGAAACTGCCCAGAGTGGTCTGTGAGAAGGGATGTGGAGTCATTCATCCAGGTCTGTCCTTTCTCCTATTTTCCTTTTGTCAGAGTTTGCCATGTGAGGCATTGACTGTCTTGCATTTCTGGATTTCATGACCTTTTCTGGTCGCTAAGACACATTCCGCTTAGGGCATATCTCTCTGAGTGACTGCTGGACGTGGCCACCATCACCTCCAGCTGGCTGATCTTGTTCTTGCTTCCACTTCGCGCCTCACAATTCACTCTTCCCAGAAGCACTGGAAAGATCCATTACAAATGTAAAATAAATACTACTAATCCTCTGCTAAAACCCAGCTGTCTTTGACCCAGCCCCCGACTCCATCTCTGATTCAGGTCCTGCACTCTCCTCCCAGATGTGTTGCAATCATATGCACCTTGGTGGAAATTTATTTTTATTCGTCCTGACCAGAACTTAAGTTCCTGAATTTCAAGATCAACATTTTTTTAAACAATTCTGCAAAGTCCTCAACATTATCTCTGTGAAAATACTATGTCTCCCCTACTCTATTTTCTCTTTCCCCAACTACCTTGGAAAATATATCCGATGTTCTTAAGGAGGATCTCTCACCTTGGGTTCCATTTGTATGGTATTGTAGCTAATTTATTTGGCTGCCTTCCAGTGCACAAATTCTTTCTTTAGACATGTCTAATTTGCCATTAAATGCATGCGCTGAGTTTTCAATAATTATTTTATTTCTAAAAAATAATTTTGACCCTTTTCAAATATGCTGGTCTTTTTTTAAAAAAAATAGAGCCTCATTCTTTTCTTGTGTCTTGAATACTCTCTATAGCGGTAATGATTTTAAGCTTATTTTTATTTCAGCTTTTTGAAGGACGTGTGTTTTAAACTTGAATCCTATTTTTAAGAGATTGTTTCTTCTGTAAGAAACCTTGGGTGAGGGTGTGTCTTTTTTGATACTTTTGGGTTCCCCAAAGGTATCCCTATTTGTGAACACTTTTGTGTTAATTTCTCAACTCGGAGGTTGGCAAACCTTACATGTGTCATGAATTTCACTTCTATGCCCCCAAATTCATGTGAGGCCAGGCCTGTGGCTGCAGATTCATAGGCAGGAAATTTTTCTGCGCACTTAGACCCCAGACCAACCCATGGATCCAATCCATGAACACTTAGTATGTTCCTGCTACCTGCTAGCACAGTGCTAAGGACTATGGATGTCGCAGTGAACTGAGTGATGCGCCTACTGCCAGGAAAGCTGAATTTTGCAGGAATGTCCTTGGACTGGTGAAGAAATCTTCTGGTCACCTGACAGGAACCTCAGTTTTGACATGCAGGCTCCATTGGACCCAGGGCCTCATTTCCTAACCTGTTATGGTTATTGAGCCCTATACCCTTGATTATCAAGACCCGAAATATTCTTCTTTCCACCAACTTCTAACTTGACCTTACCGCTTTCCTGTGCTCTCTTCACTTCTGACAAATCAGGGGCTGGTCTGCTCCATCGTGGAAAATGGATTTTCTCCGATCACTAATGCTCCAGCCAGAAATCTCCTCTCCTCTCCTCAAACATGCCAAACTCCCTTACAATACAAGCAGAAACATTTTCACCCTCCTTGGAATTTCCTTCCCCAGGTCATCACTGTGCTAGTTGTTTCCCATGTTTAGCCTCTGTACCGATGTCTCCTCTTCATGGAGACTTTCCTGTACGACCTCGAGCACTCGCCCTTATTCATAGATTTCCTTGTTTTATTTTATTTTATTTTATTTTATTTTATTTTATTGGTACCGGGGATCGAACTCAGGACCTTGCACTTGCAAGGCAGGTGACAGAACCACTGAGGTAAATCCCCGGCCCTTCCTTGTTTTATTTTACTTATAGCTTTTTTGCTGTTTATAATTATTACAGTCACTTGTTTATTATACCTGTGTCCCATAGAATGTAACCTCTATATGGTCAAGGATTTTGTCATACTTAGCACTGAGATTCTGGGCTCCATCTTTCACTACGTTGTCTTAGAAGATATGTACAGAGTTCTATGCCACTGGATAAGTTTCAAAAGAAAAGTGAGGTATCATCAATGATGCCTTCTATCCAAGGCTTGAGCTTTGAGCTCGTGGCTTTTTGCTTTGGGGCTGTGTTGCTGTATCAGGGTTCACTAGAGAAACATTTAATAGAATTTATACTTTATATATATACATATGTATAATATATAAGGTATTTACTAGGTAGGCTTACAATGCCTTCTGCTGGACCAGGGGTAGGAGAGGGCAGAAAGGCTGTTGGTGTGCTGGAGAGCTGACGATCCAGTTGAAAATCAAAGGCTTGGCGCTCACTGCAGAATCCAGCATTGGTCCAGGTTGGAAAGCCGAAGGTCTGTGTTGGAAGTTGGAGAGTCTGCACCGGAAGCCTGAAGGAACTGGAGACTAACGTCCAAAGGCCACGGTGAAGACTGGCCTCCTCTGAAGAAGCAAAGGGGACACTTTCTCCTTCTTTCCCTTTTTATTCCACCCAGGCTACAAGCCTATTAGCTGGTGCCACCCACACCCAGCATGAGCCTCCCCTCCTCAGTCGGGGGCCTGCATGTCAGTCACCCACAGACACACCCAGAGCTTTACTAATTCACTAGGCGATTCTTAAAGCACTTAATTCTTAATTCTTAATTCAGTCAAGTTGACTTATCACAGTTGGGAATCAAGAACCCAGGGCCTCACTCATGCTAGGCAAGCACTGTACCACAGAGCTGCATTTACAGCCCAAGGCTTTAGACCGGAAGTCTAGACTGTAGACATTGTAGAGGTGGAGGCACCAGCTAAATGACACCAGAAAGAAGATTTAAGACAAGATCAGAGAGGTGGGGCATTCCACAGGAGAAATTGTTCACCCTCTTCGGCAAGTAAGCATCCAGTGAATCCTATTGTTAGTATTGTTAGTGATGCCACTCCATTCACATATGGCATCACACCCTGTCACTCATTCTTCATACTCTATTTGTTTTATATGGACAATAAAGTTAACTGAATCTTCCCCTAGAATAAGTGCATCTGCCTCTAGTAAACCCATTATTCAGTAATCGTCTGGAACACTGACAGATAGGATAAGTGTACCCAGTTTTACATGATAAGCTGTATGAAGTGTTTTTGTGAGGTTTTGGCCCGTTTGCTATAAATATTGTTTTAGAAAATGTGAATGTGTGTATACACACAGGTGCAAGAGATAGAATTTGTTGTAAGAACCATTTCTATTGTAAAGTAGGCCTGCATCTACTTATTGATAACTACAGATAGCTACTAGAAAGAGGCCAATAATTTTAGATGACCTAACTGCCTTTTAGGTATACATTTAATGCCACTTAAAATAGTAGAATAAATAAACAAAATTTGGCATGACCAACTATACAGTGAATATATACAAACCTCATAAAAGTGAAGGTATCCTTGGGAGTATTATCTTAGTTACTTTTCTCATTGCCGAGACAAAATACCCAACACCTACAAGTTAAAGGAGGAAAGGTTTATTTCAGCTTACAGTTTGTAGAGGTATCAGTCCATAGTTGGCTGGCTCCAAGGCCGGGTGGCATGGCAGAGAGATATTGCAAAGGAAAAACAGTCCATGGCAGGGTAGACAGGAAGCAGCAAGTAGCAGCAATGAGCCTCCCTTTTCTTTTTATCCTATTCAGGGGATAAGCCTTTTGCATGGTGCCACCCACACCTAGAG